GCCTGGAGGCTGTGGAGGGGCTGGGGAGCTACGTCAGTCCAGGCCGGAGACGATAAAGGTCTGTGCTTGGGGCCTGGCAGCGTAGAAACGGCTCTGCTCTGCGGCTCTCTCCCTTTCCAGAGCAGCGGCTGTGCGCTGGGAGCAGCCAGAAAAGGTGATTCAGGAGCTTTAGAAAAGTACCAACCGACACATCGGGTGCCCTCCTCGTTGAGGTGGTAGCCACGGCCGCAGTGGGGCACGTTCTTCTGGCAGGTGTAGGAACCCTCCGTGTTGATGCATGTCTGCCCCATGGGACACGGGGCACTGATACTCAAGCACTCATTGATATCTGCAGCGGGGAGAGACGTAACACCAAGGTCAATGGCGGGGGGCTTCCAGAACCCAACAGCCTCTTTGTACAGCCACCAGCAGAGGCACCACAAGCCCTGACCCTGGGCCCCGTGGCAGCCTCCCACGGCCTCCTGATCTCGCCGCCAGGCAGTGCCACTTGGCTTTCTTGGCTTCCACCTCCTCGGCCCCTCTGCCTGCTCTGAACCCTGCAATGCCTCCATCTTTTGCAGTAACCAATGCCAGCTTGCCTACCTGGCTTTTAGGTCCTGCCATGTGACTTCCTGTTGTCACCACTGACTTGGCAATCACTATGCCCCCTGTATTCACCTACTGTGTTGGGCTGAAGCGTGTTCCCTGACAATCTGTGTGAAGTCCTAAGTCCTTTCCCTGTGACCACGGCCATGTTTGGAAACAGGGCCTTTGCAGATGGTATTAGTTCAGATGGAGAACAGGGGTTTCTAAGCCCTGTATGAGCAGTGTCCTCACAAAAGAGGAAAGGACACACAGACACAGGGAGACAGACGAGGGGTGCTTGTGGTGCTGCACTGATAAGCCAAGGAACGCCTGGGGCCACGAGAAGCCGTGACAGAGGCGGGGGACAAGCTTCAGGAAGAACCAACATGGCTGACAGCCCGATCTTGGACTCCCAGCCTCCAGGACTGTGAGAGAACAAAATTCCATTCTTATAAGTCACCCAGTTTGTGGGGAACCAGTAAAAAGCACTCCCCACTTAGGAGGCAGAGTTGTGCAGGGAGAAATGTGTATTTTCTACATGTTTGTTTGCTTATTTTAAATGAAGATGTATACAGCTTTTCAAATAGACAAAGTATTTTTCTTTTCTTTTTTTAAAGAACAGACACTGAATTTGGTGGCAAGAGTTGTGGGCACAGAAAGGGGCACCCACCCACAGCCACACAAAGGCCAGATTCATGGGCTGCTGAGAGCCTACACTGGCTTCAAAGGCAGCGCCTGGAAGACTGTCCCCGGAGCAGAGGGCAAGGGAAGGCCAGCTGATCTGAGCGGAGCCAGGTGGCTAACCCGGTGACCCGGGAGGGAGGAGGGGATGCTCCCGCCCTCCCAGGACAGGCCACGGGCCAGCTGCTGGCTCCCCTCGACCCACGCTGCTCTCCAGCTCAGTCCCGCCGACCTTCTACTGAGACACTAACTTCACATGTGGTTTTCTGCCTTTCCCACTGAGCTCCCTCTCAAATCAAAATAGTATTTTTGTTTTGTAACAGACTGAACTGGCGTGTGGCAGGAGGTGAGCATGTCTTGCGTGTCTCCCCTGCACCAGGGGCTCTCCACGGTCACCTGGCTTGATCCTCGCCTCACACCTAGAAGTCAGCTGATGGTTATTCCCATTTTCCAGAGAGGAAAGTGAGGCTCAGAGAAGGTAAGCAAATTGCTTTATGTCATTCGGTTCAAAACCAGGAATCTCTGACTCTGAACTCAAGACCTTTCACCTGTACTTAACCAAACCCAGACCTGGGCCAGACTAGTCAACGCGGCGACCTGTGTGCTCAGAGGGGAGCCGTGCTCCAGGCCAGACCTCCGCTGGCCTCTGGCGACCCCGTGTGCTCAGATGGGAGCCGTGCCCCACAGGGTTTGCAGGGGCTGATTTTTTGGGAAGCGATTGCCAGGCCTTTCTTCCGTGGGGCCTTTGGGGAACCTGAGCCTCCAACTATGGTCAGCAGCAAGTGTGTGAGCCATCTGGACCACTCAGGAACCCTTTCATCTACACTACTGCTGTCAGGTGCCACAGAGTTGATTCCGGCTCATAGCACAGCCCCACGTGACCAAGCACAAGTGCCTCACAGGGTTCTCTCCTGGCTATAACCTTTACACAGAATGCCAGGGCTGTCACCTGCAGAGTTCCTGGATGCGCACAAAACACCAACCTTTCCTTTAGCTGCCGAGCGCTTAACCATTTGTGCCACCAAGGCTCTTTGCATCTATGCAAGGGGTTGGCAACGAAAGGCTCTTGGGCTGAACCAAGCTCGCTGTCCAATTTTATAAATAAAGTTTTATTGACACACAGCCTCGCCTACTTGTTTACACACAGTCTGGGGAGGCTTTCGAGCTACCTCAGCAGAGTCAGGAAGCTGCAACACAGACCCTGTGTCCTGCAGTGCCTGAGATACAGACCCCGCGGCCCTAGCTGGGTCACCGGCCGGCCCTGCGGAGCCCGTCGGGCCTGGCGGCGGTGTGTCTTACCAATACAGTTGCCTAGAGCATCTTGTATAAAGCCACTCTTGCACTGTAGCTTGGGTCTGCAGCGGAAGGATCCCACAGTATTCTGACAGATAAAATCGGGGGGGCAGTTATGAATACCACTGTCACACTCGTCAATATCTGGTACATCATAAAAAAGGAAATAGTTAGCAAGCGTTCTGCCAGGAGCATCTCATAACACTTTAAAATCACACTTTTTTTTTTTTTTTTAATTTTTTAAAATAGCCCATCACTCAGAGTATAACCCAAAACAATCCCATGGAGAGGTCACAGACGGCATTTAGCTAGCCAAACAAGAGCTCAAGACTGAACGCTGACTGTGTTCCCAGGCTCTCCGGAGGCAAACTCTCTGCTCTATCATAAATAACCCAGGCGTTTCCCTGCCAGATGTATTTTGCTCATTCCCAGCTAAGTGTCTGTTTACTTTAGATCATGACTTAATTGTTTTGGTGGCAATAACTAGGGTCCCTATAAACTTATCCATCCGGATGTCCTCATGATATTACAAAAACTAACTGGGGCGCCTGTAAGGAGCAGGCTGCCTTCCCTTGAAGTTCACAGATGTCAGATGTTCAAATGTGTACACTTAGCTGGCTCGACCACTGGGTTCCCTGCGGCCAAACCGCCCAGCAAGTCCGCGGGGATGGACTGAACCTACCGGGACGCCCTCAGATGTCCCGAGGGCGTGCCGTGCTTTCGAGCTGGCCTCGTGACTTGATCAACGTTTCTACACAAGTGCTTTTGTGGCTCTGACAGGCTCGACAGCCCTTGCAGAAACCACATCCTAAAGAATCTTCCTCAGAACTTTATCTGCCAAGTAACCTCAAGGGCTTGGGGGCATAAAGCCAGCAGCCAGAAATGTCATGGTTTTAGGCAGCAGAAGGAAATACGCTTTGAACTTCAAGGAAGCCTGGAACCAGATGGGAGGCAGCTGTGGTGCAAACAAAATTTTTTTTTTTTTTTCATAAAAAGTGCATGTGAGCACCTGAAACTCGTGCCGGGTGCTGTTTTTAAATAATCGTGCACTGAGTCTTTTCAGAAACGCAAACTCGCTGCCCGCATTAACTGAGTGTCGGCAGAAGCACTATGGACAGAACTGGCCGGGACTGGGGCAGGGGGTTGTTAGCTTGTCTGCTCTGATCGCATCTGTCAGTCCTTTCACCTCTACGCCCCTCATGACACCCCAGGGGTTGGTCCAACAGGTATAAACACCAGGTGCCGTCAAGTGGACACTGACTCATGGTGACACCATGTGTGCAGAGCAAAAGGGGGGTCCATAGCGGTGTCAGTGGCTGATATTGAAGAAGCAGATGGCCAGGCCTTTCTCCCGAGGTGTGTCTGGGTGGCCTGGACCCCCCAACCTTCCAGTTAGTGGCCAAGCCTGTTAATCATATGCACCACCCAGGGACCCCCAGCAGCCATAGCCACCACCATCACAACAGTGCAATCTGCAGCTGGTCGAGGGCGTGGCACAGGCCTGGGTGGCATTTTGTTCCACTGTGCACAGGGACACCATGAGTCAGAGACCTGCCAGACGGCAGCCCACAGAGGAGGCAGCAGTCCCGGGAGCCACACGGGGGCACTGCAGCCCCAGAGTCCTCGGCCCGGAGCCCGTGCCTTCCTTCCCACCGTACCCCATCCACCCCTGCAGACTGGCTGTCAGGCTGTGAGCAGGCACCTACCTTTGCAGTCATTGTTCTCCGTGAGCTCGTAGCCAGTCCCACAGCTGCTGTCCCGTTGACAGCGGAAAGAGCCCACGGTGTTGATACAGGACTCACCCAGCCGGCAGCTGTGCTTGCCGGTAATACACTCGTTAATGTCTAGGACAGACGGCAAGGAGTGACTGGTGAGAAAGCCCATCCGTACCCGTCCGCCCGAGGACTCCTCCAGAAGTCACGGGGTCTGGCCCCTGCGTCCATGAGCCCCCATTCGACCGGGCTGGGGTCCCACTGTGACACACAAGGGTGTCATGAGGACTCGCCACCAAGTCCCTTGCTCTTGCAGAGTGATTTTCTGAGCACTCATTTATCCAGTGCCAGCCCTGGACTGGAATCGTGTGACCCTCTACAAGCCCAGAAGGAGGGTGTCACCGTCCCCCCACATCAATTCTAGGCTCAGAGCATGCTGAGCCCAGCCCAGGCCTCTTCCCAGCATGTGGTCTGTCTTCTCCGGATGTGACCTCAGCTGGGAGCCCTGCCCCACACAGCTAGAGGGAGAGCCAGCAACACAGTACTGGGTGCTCTCCAACACGGCAGGGCGCCCCCTGTTCGGACCTCAGGGACGGGGTGTAGCCCTGAGACATTTACCTTCACATGAGACACCATCGGGCAGCAGCTGGTAGCCCACAAAGCAAGAGCAGACGACCTCGTCCCCCGTGTCACGGCACTGCTGTTTACAGGGGCCGCCGCCTGCAGACAGAGCATGTGTGAGGGGGTGCAGGGGGACACGGAGCCCCTGCAGACCTCCACATTCGCTCCCCAGTTCCAGGGAGCAAGCAGAGCCCACCCACCGCCTTCCCAGTCCCTACCCTGTGGGAGGTCCCCAGGACTGGCCCTGGGCACCCAGCAAAGTCTCAGCCCTGGCTGACAACAGGAGGGCCAGGCAGGGGGCGCTGTAAGTCTGTGGGGCAGAGCACCAGCCAGCAATGGACCCCTCATGGGACGAGGCCCCGCAGAGGCCCAGTTTCTCCCCAAATCTCGGGCAAGCAGGACTGCCATGTCACTCCCACTGCCTCAGCTCCAGCCACCCACTCACCTGGTCTCCCCCCGAGTCTCCCTGGTATTGGCCCTCAACCTTCTCTTGCTCTGGGGCAGCCTGAGGGATGTCCAATGGGCAACTCCATCAGGACTAATCTCTACCAGGCAGTGGCCCTGTGGCCTAAGTTCCCAACTGTTGCCCAGGCCCTGCAGGGCCCTGCCCCTTGTCCAACACCCTCCTCCCCCTCCCCCCACTGGACACCCTGCCCGTCTGCTGGGGCTCTGCACCCCTCCCTTGGCTCCACGCCAGCCCCCCGGGAAGACCCTCCCATGCTCCAGGGAGGATCACGTGGCTGCTATGGACTGAATCGTATGCCCCCAAAAGCCATGCAAACCCAACCTCATTTGGGGAATAGAGTCTTTCTTTGAAGTTATTATCAGTAAAGTTAAGAGGTCAGGCCAGAATTGGGTGGGTCCTAGTCCCTTCAGAGTGTCCTATAAAATGCAGAAGATGTTACGGGGAGAGGGTCTGAGAGCAGCAAGGGGACCCCAAAGCTTGTCAGCAGCCACCAAAGCCAGAAGGGAGACCTGGGCAGTTTCTTGGCGAGTCCTCGCCCGGACTCCTCGCCGCCAATACCCTGAACTTCAGCCTCCAGCTCTGTGGGACAGCACCCATCTGTTGCTTAAAGCCACCCTCTTTCTGGGAGGTTGTTGTGGCAACACTAGAAAACAGAGCGGAAGCTTTCTGGGACTCTCTGCTCCTTCCCTCCCCCCCCAGGATGCAGTGCCGATGTCACTAAACACTGACCATGTCACCGTGTCAGGAAGCAGGGTGCCTACTTAACCCAGTGACTCTCTCCCCAGCCACAGGGCGAATCACGGAATGAACTTGGGGCACAGACCTGTCAGTTTCGACATGCCGGACTGTTCCAGCTTTAGGATGTGAGAAACACACCTGCAACTCTCCAACTTTAAACTTGAACACGTCTCTCTGTGGGGTACGCCCCCTCTGGGTCAGGTGTGGTCAGGCTCAGGGTCACAGACACCAGTGACACTCGGGTCCTTTCTGAGGGACCCCAGCTTTGGGAGAACTTGGGAATGATCAGGTGGTACACGGGGGCGCAGGGTGCCCGATGCCAGCTTTTCACCCACAGCCCTTTCTCCGGTGCTCTTACCAGACCCCAGCTCCAAGGACGCTGAGGGAGAAGGCAGGGGCCCAGGGGTGACGAGAAGACAAACATGACCCCCAGCCAAAGGACACTTCCCAGGGGGAACCTGAGTAAAAGCGCTGGGGTGCGAGCTCCCAGCGAGACCAGCGTCGACCTTGTTTTACGTCCAGTGAATCGCCGACTGGCATGGAGGTGGCGCCAGGTTCTTACCTCGGCAGCGGTCGTTCAGGTATGGGTCCTCTTGCTCTCCCTCGCCCTCAGAAATCTTAGCTAAGGGGGCAAGGAACAAGGGCAGACGTTTACACAAACACATCACTTCACTGTATCTCAGAAGCTTCTCTTCTGCTTAACATCAAGGAGCTGGTGGCAGTGCTTAAGGCATTGGGCTGCTATCGACTGGAACCGACTGAATGGCAGTGAGCTTGGTTTTCGGTTTTGGGTGGCCCCAATGTGCCTGACGGGCAACTGAAAAGCTGGTGGTTCAAGCTGGCTCCTGTGAATTGCCTCACGGAAAGGCCTGGTGACCTAATTCTGAAAAATCAGCCACTGAGAATGGTGGCAGGGTGGTTAGGCATTGGGCTGCTAACCAGAAGGTCAGCAGTTCAAACCCACCAGGTGCTCCGTGGAAGAAGATGAGGCAATTTGCTTCCGTAAAGACTTACAGCCTTGGAGACCCAGTGGGGGTCGCTGAGTGGGAATCAACCCGATGGCATGAGTTTGGTGTTTTGGTTTTGAAAACCCTGTGAAGCAGCTGTACTCTGATACACTGGCGGGGTGTGTGTGGGGTCACCATGTGTCAGAGTCAAGGCAACAGTACATTTTTTTTCTGGTTTCTTACCCATTTGTAAATATTACAGCCAGCTAAGTATTCATGTTATCCTTTTTAAAACAGAGTGATGCTTGGCAGTGTAAGCAAATCTCAGGGCTGTGACAACAGAAACAGCGTAGGCACAATCTCCTGTCATCAACTGCACGTGGAGTGCTGTCCCGTGGGCCAAATACTGCAAACGTTTTAGCAGCCACAGCCCTAATGTTAAGTCAAGTCACATCCCCCAAAACCTAAAGCCATGCCGATGGTGAAAGTTGACTTCACAGTCAGCTTTGCCTACCTTCCTAACTGAATTGCCTTCCTCGCCAAAAAAATATGTATTGGAATCCTAACCCCTAAATCTGTGGATAGGAGCTCTGGTGGCATAGTGCCTAAG